CCTGGCTGTGATGGCTGTGTTCTCTGGCTCCTCCTGAATGTCTTGGCTGTTCACCAGTACAAGATGTCACAGAGACAAGCTTAAGTTGGCCAAGACCCATGGTAACAGTTAAAGAGAAGAAATGAGAGCTTAAGGATGATCAAATTCTCTTAAGTCATGTTAAATAAAAGTGTTCTATGTTGTTTCCAATTTCCTCTAAAAGCCCTTCTCGCGTTTGCATGGAGAACGACCGGATGAATATGTCAGCTTGTCATGCTTCCTCATGTGATGTGTGTAGGTTGGTAGCTCATCAGAAAACTGCCCACTTTATTGGAATCAAGTTTCAGTGTCAAGTATTATTCTCAAGCAACAATATGTCTGCTAAGCTTGGACTATGCATACCAGAATCCACTATTTTGTAACTTCAAATTACAGCTCTATTCTTTTTTATTCATGCATATGTATATGTTCATGTGTATGGAGCACATGTATGGAGGTGTGGGAGTGCATGTGTTTATGTGTGGAGATGGGTGGCAACCTCGGGCATCATCCTTAGGAATCTACCCACCTCCTTTGGGTCCATGTTTCTCACTGGCCTAAAGCTCACCAATTACGATAAACTATCTGGTAAGAAAAACAAATGTTGCCTTCTGTCTCTGCCTCTCAAGTACTGAGATCATAAGATGTGTTCTCATGCCTGATTTCTTCACATGGGTTCCAGGATTAAACTCAGGTCCTACTTTTGCAAGGCAAGCAGTTCACAACTGTTCTTCTGCCTCCCTCCAGCCCTGTAGTGATATTCTTACTTTAAAATACTAAAGAACAAAAGCAAAGAGTAGATGTCCCTCATTTGCTATGTACATGCAATAATTCTGTCGAAAAAGAAGTGACCATTATGAAACATGCTAGGTTTAGCCTTCTTTTCAGCCTGACAGACAGATACACCTATTCTAAAAATTATTACATCATTATTTCGTAACTTTCCACCTGTTATGTATTACTTTCCTCTGATACTGAATTATTCCATCCTGCAGGGAAGCTTCTTAACCAGGAAGGTAAACAACTCAAATACTTTCAGGAAGTCCCTGAAACTGACCAGATTCACTAGGTCCCTTCCTGACAGAGTAAGCAATAAAAGCTTAAAGTCCCTGTCAGACCCAGCTAAGCCAAATTGCAAAGAAAAATCTGGGACCAGACCAGCCTGGATGCCTGGATGCCCGGAAGAGGTTTAGACCAACTGAGGCACCTGGAAAGGACTCTCCAACCTGCTGAGCTGCCTGCAGGCTGTGCAGCGTGCTCCAAACTTAGCTTTTGTGAGCTGCCATCCAGCTGGGGTGGGCTTTGATAATAGAGCTATCTGGGAATCATTTCTCCTCTTGTAAGTAACCCTCCCCCCACATTCCTGTAGGTAACCTGAATACAACTCATGGGTTCATCAAATTGGGCTTTAGTGGGATTCACACTTTGGTATGTCATTGGTTCCCTGTCTGGGGTAGGTAGACATGCTGTATTGCATCTCCCCAGGAAAAGTTTTATTACATAGCAGCACCTAAAATAGTATGGTTTGTCCTCCCCACCACCACCAAATTACCTTGCTCTGCATATTCAAAATTACTTTCTGAGAGCCTGCTGTGTGTAAAGGAATTGAAGGGACAAATTCTTCATCTCCACTGTAAGACTTAAAAGACATTTTTGGAGGTCTATAAACTTCTGTAATTCCATTTTTAAAGTATCCAAGAATTAGTCAGCTTAGTAACAACTGAGGTTGCGTGAACTGCTAAAATGCTTTTGAAACAGAGTTGGCAGTTGGTTTCCTTGGTCCTCTAAGACACTCAGCTCCCCTCTCTCCCTTTGCAATGCAACTCTGCCTTCAAATGCCATTCTTTAAAAGGAGGCTTTATGGATTTGGAGGAGTTTGCTGGTTTCACAGCCAGTTTTGCCACTGCAGCAGAAAAGAGATCGCATGTGCAAGCCAGCTGAAGTCATGCGCATGGCAAGAATTAGAGCTGCGGGGCCATGCTGCTGTCAAACTGCAATTGGAAACAGCTTTTCCCACGTACGGCATGAGAAATCAGGGATTCTTGCTCATGGTCTGCCAGGCTGCTGCATTTCTAATCCGGCCTGGCATGACCTGTTAGGCATCAGAAATGTGAACGTTATAGTGAAACCAAACAAGGGTATTCATTGGCCTCCAAGTGTGGCTCTCCCTGGCTTCCTACCAGACACAGAATTATTCTCACTCACCAGTTACTATGAGGAGAATTTCTTTACAAGGATAGAAGGTACAGGAAGGCTTGACCAGATAGGACAACAGGTTTAGCTGAAGGACTCTTTCTTATGACAACCACTGCAAGCATCAGTCGTTTAACTGTCTAGCTTGGAACCTCACCTCTTATTCTTCAACTTTGACTGTCATGTGGAGGTGCTGTTTTTATAGGAAAACATCTAGAATTCCCATGTGATAGAATGCTGACCAAGACTAATTAGTGAAAGTTAATTTCTTGGCACCCCAGCTTTAGGAAAAAGTCAGTTTTCAAGACAACAGGAAGCCAGGAGTGGTGGCATGTGCCTTTGATCCCAGCACTCAGGAGGCAGAGACAGGAGGATCTCTATATGTTTGAAGTCAATCTGGCCTACATAGTGAGTTCCAGGATTATGTAGTGAGAACCTGTCTTAAAAATAAATCCCCAAACAAAACCCATGCCAATAATTTAAGGAAAACAAAAACCTCTCAGGGTTTGCTTTTAAAACTAGTAATCCAGATATGGCTCAGATCTTTAGATCTAGAGGCTGAGAGTTGTCTGAGGACTCAGAGCCCAGTGACAGCAATGCCCATTTCATTTGTTCACTCTCAGTGGCTTTTCAGAAAAGTTTACCAAAGTAGAAAATGAATAAACCAGATTTGATGAAGCAGTGACTTGGTACACACAACTCCTCACTGGTGAGACAGGTCTGTTAAACACACGTGGTGGCACTCCAGAGTGGGCCAGCTCCATCCAACTGTCACCCTGGAAGATGCTTAATGAAGTTCATTTAGGCACAGAAAAAGTGGTCTGACTTTCTACACTGGCTTCCAATGTCCAATTCAAACCCCATCCCTCAATAGCCTGTTCCTTGGTCCTCAGAGTCAGTGGCTTCTGCCTCCACAAAGCCCGGGGACCACTGTCAGCACACTCCATTTCATACACTGTAATTGGTGCTCGTGAGTGGACTACTTCCCTAACTCAGTGATTGCATCTTGTGAATTTCTCAAGTCCTGCCCTTGCTATTTCTGAAATTAAAGTCCAGACCAAATACAAAACAAACAAAGGCAAACTGTGAACTATCTCAAAGGTGTTAGAAATGTGTATTTAGTCAAGCGATACATAACCACCTTTTGATAATTTACAGTCACATGAACACTGCTTAGTCCTGTAAGGTCACAATGAAGGTGACAAGTGCCCCCTGTCTAGAGGGCAACAGCTGTCCTCACACTGAGGCATAACATGTTACTTGCATAGGTGGGCGATGCTGGTGTGAGCCAACCTACTCTATGCTGGGTGCAAACAATTACAGCAGAGATGACTATGCGTAATATATAGAACTGATGACAAGTGAATGTTACCTGCTTATGTATTTACCACACGGCTCTCTTCATTGTCATATAGTGAGACCTTTACATATTTATCCGGAAGCATACTGTAAAGGCATTGTTGTCTTGCTGTAGCCCAGTCTCATCCATCTCTCTCATTAGTTTCTGTTTCAATCAACCTCATGATATTGTGTTCATCTTGACCCTAGAAGCAGTATGCTCCATCATATAGCCTAAGTACAGAGTAGTGAGTACCAGCTAGGTCTGTGTGAGTTCACACGATGACTTACTCATCTAACAATGCATCTTTGAATGTGCTCTGTAGGGAAACAATGTATGGCTGCATTTAGCAAAGAGGTTTTCAGAAATAAACTACAGCCAAATGATGGGCAATGTTCCAAAAGCAGAAGCAGGCTCATGGAAAAAGCATTACATGCAAGCTGCATGTTCAGCAAAGAAATGCAAAGGTCTGAACTATTACTCAGTCATCATCAAAAAGCTTATCTGGGGGTGGGAGATGGCACACTAATAAAGTGCTTGCCTGAGAAGCTGAGTTCAGATCCCTGTCACCCATGTAAAAGCTGCACAAAGCAGTGGAACACATCTGTAATCTCAGAGTGAGGAGGCAGAGACACCTTATTGGCCCAAGACGTGTAGCCAAATCAGTGAGTTCAGGGTCAATGAGAGATACTGACTCAAAAAATGATGATGATGATGATGATGATGATGACGACGATGATGACGACGATGATGACGACGATGATGACGACGATGATGATGTGGAGAATGATTGAGGAAGGTATCTGGCATTGACCTCTGGCTTCCACATGTATGTTTATATATACACAGGTGCAGCTGCCTATACCCATACACATGTACACATATGTATCAGACACATACAAACATATCTCAAAACGCAAACAAATTCTGACCCAGAGAATTCTCAAAGTAACAGGCTGTTTTAGGATTAAAATTTTTCTGAGTGTCATACCTTCTAATAAAGTTTCCTTTCTTCCTCTTCGGTGCTAGAGATGCCTGAAAACCACTCTACCGAGCTACTCCTCGAGGCACTCATGAAAAAGAAAAACCTAACTGTACTGTAGATAACATGTTTATCATAAAAATAAGACAACAGTTCACTGGTGAGTCTCCACCCCAGCATGTGAAAGGCCCTGGGTGTGATCCCCAGCATTTCAAGCAAAACCAATCAAACCAAGAAAGATAAATCATTCTGGTTAAAACTATGTTCGGTTTTATACTCACTGACATTCAGTCCAACTATGCCAGTGATATAGCCTAGCTGCAGAACAGAACAACATAAGGGCCTATTCCATGCCAATCAATAAAGCAAATAAAATGATAAATGGACACAGTGTTCCACTGTCTGGGCATCACATTTATTCCAAGAGTTGAGACTACAACTTAGACCTCAGAGTTGGTGTGCACTTACCTTCGTGAATATGCATCTATTGAGCATCTTCAGGATGAAATAACCCCAGTAAAGATGAAGGCCCTGAAGGATCATGAGCTGTAGGTTGAGGAAGATGTACGAAAAGAAGGGTTCGAGGTAGTGCAAAGGCAGAATCAGTGTGCAGTACAAAATCCTGTGGAAAAACAGGTAGGAGATCTCACTGTGGCCAAAGCACTGGTGAATTTCAACGAGAAAACATATATTCTTTCTCCCCAAACATATACTTAATTTGAAAAGATGTCCAGAAATTCTCTATAGGAAAAGAAAGGGTGATATTATCATTTATATCACACTTCCACAATCAAGAAGTACAGCCTGTCTCCTGAGAGAAAAACAAAAACAAGTGATGCTTCCTACTACTGCTTGCTTCAGAGTTCCTGTGCCTCTGTTCCCTCTTTGCAAACAGAAAAGCTGGCATGAACCGTCTTTACCTTCCAGGCAGAGAGAGGTTGCAAATGAGACAATGCATGTTTCCGTTGGCACCTTCTGACACGGTTTCATTTACTGGGTGTCAGTAGTGACTTGAGACTGCAGCTCCCTGAAAGCAGCCCAGCATACACCAGGCCAAGCTGCAACCCCCAGTCTCTGCCCCCAAATACACACTTCATGATTGCTTCCATTTCCTAAAGCGAACTGCCCACTTTGTCTGCTGTGCACACAGACTGACTCCTGAGCACAATTTTTACTGCCCCGATGCATCAAGATGCACAGCATCTTTAGCTCTTATCCCAGGATGAAAAGCGAAATGTTCTTTCTGCAAAGAAAGGTTGGGTTATAAGCACAGATTTGTGTATAAAAAAATAATTTGTTCAGTTAAATTGGAAGAAAAAAATGGAAAGAAAATGTTCACAGTATCACCCTCTAAAATGATGCTGTAATTTGAGTGCCTTGTCTTTCATTTTTTTTTTCTCAATACATCACTTAAATTAATTTTTAAATTAGCAGACAGTCAAATTTTCTGGGGTTTGCCACAGAGTTGAGTGAGCTGGAGGATAGGGAGCAGGCTGCTGTTCTATCCCTCGATAGTCATGCCATCTCCACCCTTAACCGGTACAACCACTCATCTGCCCTCCACCTTCCACTGTTATCTTTTCCCAGAGTGTTTTTGAGACTGTTGTCTTTTACTTGCCCACTGCTTTTCTGACTCACCCAATTCCCGGGGGAATCAGTGGCTTTCCTTTGTGCCCTGCCATGCGAACATTTCACACTTTATGTGTTCACTTTCAGAGGAGCACGAGAGCCATTTTCCATGCTTGAACATTGTTAACACAAACACTACATACACTCACACACATGTTTTTGTATGAACAGAGGTTTTCATTGCTGACGGGTAAGCAGGTAGATGGAACTAATGTGTGGTGAACGGCAAGTGCACGGTTAACTTCACAAGAGGATAAAGTATTGTTTGCTGGAGTATACGCTATGTACCTACCCTCCTATGCTTGTGGTTCACATCCTCCTCGATATTGCGTATTGTTTTGCAGAAATATGTGTTCATGTTCAATACAGTTGTTGGCAGGGTTCATGTTTGCATTGATTGGGAATGGCCCCCAAAGGCTCATATATTTGAGTGCTTAGTCAACAGGGAGTCAAACTATTTGAGAAGGATTTGTAGGTGTGGCCTTGGTGCAGTATGAATTTGTTGGAGGAAGTGTATCACTGAGGGTGGGTTTTGAGGTATTTTTTTTTAAAGTCCATGCCAGGGCAGTGTTTCTCTGTCTATGGATTAGGATATAGAACTTTCAACTCCTCCAGGACCGTGTCTGCCTGAGTGCCTTCATGCTACCCACCATGATGATAATGGACTAACCTCTGAAATTTTAAGAAAGCCCCAAATTAAACGCTTTCTTTTATAGGAGTTGCCTTGGTAATGGTGTCTCTTCACAGCCATAGAACAGTGACCAAGACAACATTCAAAGCCATTTATGCTAAAATCATTCCACACTGTTTCAAAACCTCAAAGTATGTAGTCTTTCCCAAATGGAAGATCTTCTTAGAAGTGTATGTTCATAAAAATAAGAAGCTCCATTCCAAGTGTACATTAAAGGTGCAGAAGTTCAAGGAGTGTGCTGGAAAGTACCAAACATTACCACCTTGTTTTCTAAAATTGTAAATGATAAGGCCATCAGAGATGTATGAATAACTTATTTTGGGTCCCCTCCCCAAATCTGGTGGGTTTAATGTTTGCTGATTTAAAACTCCAGACAATTTAAACAGGCAGTATTTGCAAGTCTTTGAGGGTTTCTCATGTCTGCTGGGCCGCTGCCTCCTCTTATGTGAGTTATCAGCTCAGGTTCTGCCTGTTCAAAACTCATTATCTAATTTACCCATTTTTTGCAGACAGCTCTCAAGTTTACCTTTTAACTCAGAAATATATTGTCCTTTTGGAAATTCAGAATATATATAAAATGTGAAGGACTTTAAAAGTGCCTAAAAACCCCAGAATGTACACATTTTAGGACATTTATCTTCCACCCAAATTATTTTATATGTCAGGGATTTGGGACCTTGATTTTTTTCCTCCTCCATGTCAGAGAGATCTTTTCATATCAATGAATGCAACTTATAATAGAAGCAAGCAAACTGGTCTGTTCTACCAAGGGGTAGATAATCCCTGTGTACAGCCTAGAAATTGACCTTGCGCCCACAGATAAATATACATATATTTATATATGTATATATATATATATAAAATAAATATATATAAAAACCTTTATCAAGGAAACATCTCTTTGCAAGAGATGGAGACCATCACAGAAAACCACAACCAATCAAAATGCAAAGTCATGGAGCCCAGTTCCAGTGGACACATCTATGATATAGCTGCCTTAGGCATCAGGGACTTCTGAAAAGGGGTGGAAAGATTATAAGAGCCAGATGATCATGGGGTTTGCTGTGAGATTGTATCTTCTAGTAATGTCTGAAGTTACACCCACAAAGTCTCACCAGCATGACTTCCTAAAGATGAGCTGAACAAGGACAACAACAGACATGCTCACATGGACAGAGAAAGACCACAAGGCCTCAACTCTACACAAAGAACTACAGGCACCTAAGAGATGCTGAGAGCTGGAGGCAGAGTCCTCCCCAGGGAAGATCACACTAATAAATTATCCAATACCAAATGCTCAGTGCTGAAAACATATGTACATACAACATTCTTCTGACTGAGCAAGTTGTATTTAGGTATTGAAAAATATATTAATACATACATTATGTAACAATAATTAATGAAAAAAGACACCTTGAATTTGAAAGTGAACATTAGAGAGTTTAGAAGGAAAGGGAAGAAGGAAATGATGTAATTATTTTATAATCACAGAAAGTAAAAGAAGTAATAAAATGAAAAAAGAAACAGATAATAAATACGTCAGGCCATTGGTCATCTGGTCTCTGTTGCAACTACTTAGCTCAGCCATTGTAAGAAAAGAGCAGATAAATGGCACCTTCCATACAAACTAATGATTATGGCTGGGTGAGTGCCAATAAAGCTTTACAAACAAACCAGGTCTTTCTATCTCCCTCTTCTTTCATAAGATTCCCTGCACTCTGCCCAAAGTTTGGCTATGAGTCTCAGCATCTGCTTTGATACCTTGCTGGGTAGACTCTTTCAAAGGCCCTCTGTGGTAGGCTCCTGTCCTTTGCCTGGAGGGGACAGAAGCTCCACAAGGAGAGCAACAGAGCCAAAAAAAAAAAAACATAGCCACAGGAGTCTTTTATGAGACTGATACTCCAACCAAGGACCATGCATGGAGATAACCTAGAACCCCTGCACAGATGTAGCCCATAACAACTCAGTCTCCAAGTGGGTTCTCCAGTAAGGAGAACAGGGACTTTCTGTGACATGAACTCAGTGGCTGGCTCTTTGATCACCTCCCCCTGATGGGGAGAGCAGCCTTATGAGGCCACAGAGGAAGACAATGCAGCCAGTCCTATAAGACCTTATAGGCTAGGGTCAGAGGAAAGTAGAGGAGGACCTCCCCTATCAGTGGACTTGGGGAGAGGCATGGGAGGAAATGAGGGAGGGGGTGGGATTGGGAGAGGATGAGGGAGGGGGCTACAAAGTGGGATACAAAGTGAACAAACTGTAATTGATAAAAAAATAAATTTTAAAAAGAAATAAATTCAATTTTATAATAGAAAAAACCACATTATAGGGTCGTTTCTGATTTTGTATTCAAATAGAAAACCCTTTACGTATTACATAGACGTAAATGTAATGTTTATAATTTTTATCTATTTTCCCATGGAATAACACTAAATAAAACTAATGAAATTACATTGTAATGAAAAAAAAATGTGTGAGCTACAATCCCCATCCTGAAAGGCAAAGAGGAAGGACATCAGAAGAAGAAGAAAACAGGAAACAAGTTAGGAAGCTGTCACCGAGGGCCTCTGAAAGGCTCTGCTCTGCAGACTATCAAAGCAGATGCTCAGACCTATGGCCAACTGTTGGGCAGAGTGCATGGAATCTTATGTAAGAAGTGGGAAATAGTAAGATCTGGAGAGGACAGGAACTCCACAAGGAGAGCAACAGAACCAGAAATTTGAACACAGGGGTCTTCCCAGAGACTCATACTCCAACCAAGTATGTGTGGAGATAATCTAGAACCCCTGCACAAATGTACCCCATGGCAGTTTAGTGTCCAAGAGGGTTACATAGTAATGGGAAGAGGGACTGCCTCTGACATAATCTGATTGGCCTGCTCTTTGTTCTCCTCCCCCTGAGGGAGGAGCAGCCTTACCAGGCCACTGTAGAGGACAATGCAGCCACTCCTGATGAGATCTGATAGACTAAGATTAGAAGGAAGGAGAGGAGGACCTCCCCTATCAGTGGACTTGGGGAGGGGCATGCGTGAAGAAGAGAGAGGGAGGATGGGATTGAGAGGAGAGGAGGGAGGGGTTTATGGGGGGATACAAAGAGAATAAAGTATAATTAATAAAAAATTAAATTAAATTTTTAAAAAAGTGTGAGCTAGAGTTGACCCTAAGCCGTAGTTTGCCATCGTCTGCTATACATCGTTCATGTAACAGCTGTGTAAGATCCATTTCACACACTGCAACTTAACTCTTCCCTGATAAGACAGTTACGTTCTTCCCAATGTTTTTTATTATAATTATAAAGAGCACGTG